GGCCGCCGCTGGCGCTGGCGAGCGCGGAGCGGTGCGTCCGGTGTCCTGCGGGTAAACGAGCCATTAGCCTCTTCTGTGGTAGAGCCAGCGTGTTGGCTCTCAGGAGAGATATACGTTTCTTAAAGTGACAAGTGGGATTACTGTCAGCATCCCCCGTGGTTGAGGAGAGCCAAAAAAAGCAAACCTCCCCCCAAAAAAACAAAACAAAACCCAGTGCGTTAAGCATAGTTTAAGAAATTGGTGCAGAGATTGTATCAAACTGCCCTTAGGTGCTTGGGATCCTACACCCATCGCTGACTACCCGCTGTAGCCACAGTCTCTCAGCTCTGTGTCTAATCCTGTGCGGAAGGTATTAGTGACCAAAACAAGCCATTTATTTTAACTAATAAAACAGTTTAGGAAATGCCATCCTCATTTTCAAAAGCTTAACTTCTGAGATTTGGTCACGTTGACACCTGGATGATGCAAAGACGTCTGGCAACTTTTTCTCTGATACAGTTTAAGAAGTACTGGGTTTGATGCAAGGTTTAGAAGTTGATTTATATGTTAATTAAAACGGTATCAAAATCTTACTTTTAAAACTTCTGGCCACTTAGCTTTCTGTACCTGATTTCGTTAGTACATTTTAGTCTTGTTTGAGGTCTAACTTTTCATTTCCAGAATTCTTCGCAGTTCTTTTTACATCCTTTCCTTTTGCACTCTGTCTAATCAGCTACTACGTTCTGTGTGATCTTTTCTGTTTTGTGTTAGTCCTGCTCAGGTTTCATGTCTTCTTTCTCAATACTTTGAAGGCAATTACCTTCTGTGTAATAAATGTCAGACATTGGCTGTTCTCGCTACTAAGTGATTTAGAGAAGAAAAAAAGTGCATTCCAATTTGAGTGCTACTCAGTGAAAAAAGGAGGCGGTTTGTTCCTATTATGTCTAAAATACAAGCACTTTAAAGGAGAGGCCCGATACGGTTTGAACTGCCTTCGGCGTTGCATCTGGTTGTGTCTGCATAATTGTATCAAACACTTCAGAACTGTATTAGTACTGCCTTTCTTTCACTTGATAATAGAAGTAGTTCAGTAACACCTTCTTATTATACTCTGTTTTGTAACGATTCTGTGCGTTTATCATCATGCAGACAGTGGAACCTGGGACAAAGATTTGTGAAATGCGCCTCAACAATAGGTATGAAAGTTGTTTTCTTTAGCTTTTAGGTTTAATTGCTTGTGTAATGTGGGTGGTTTTACAGTTAGTTTCAGATCATTCGTTCCAGGAAAGGCTATAGTTTCCTTGCCAATAGATACTCAATATTTTTATAGTTTTCCAAAATAGCAGTCTGTACCTGACTTAATAGAAATCATCTCTAATGCATAAAGAGGATTTTGAATGAGTTCTTCTATCATATTTAGTCATACTCAACTTGCATGAAAATTACTTATTTTTGTGATGTTTTCTTCTGAGATCCTTTGTGATAGAAAGGTGGTAATGTTCTTGAGAACTGTTTTTAAGCGTAGTATTATTTAAATGATATGCGAAAGAAGGTAATATTTGGTAAGATGATTTAAACAAATCGTATTGTCATATGTTCTGAAAAGATACACTTCAGAATTCAGAGATATATTATCATTTTGTAGGTTAGTTTTAAGCTCTTCAGTTTTGCCTGTAATGAATTTATCCTTATATTTATATCACGTTTAATTGCTGTCACAATACTTACAAAAGCTTGTAAGTCACTGTTAAAAAAAAGATAAAATACCTTTATACCTTTATTCCTTGTTATTTCTTTGTGAGTGTGTGTCAGTGGGGAATAAACGTTCATTGCGTAAATGAGAATAACTTGTGACCTTTTTAGGGTTTTTAATTGTTTCCCAGTAAGTCTGGAAAGTACACAGTTAAAATGTGTGCATCATCTTTTACATTTAAGTGCTGTTATAGGGTTAGAGTTTATTTCTTGGACTCTAGAAAAAAGCAAATGACTTAATTTAAACATGCTTCTGCATAGTGACGCTTCGCAAAAAACTCCAAAGACTAGCACTGAAAGGGTTTTGTGTGAAGCGTATGTTTTTTTCGTTATTGAAAGATGGGCATAAAACAAACACTACACATGATAAAAAAAAAAAAAAAAGAAATCTGAATTCTGAAATTGCTTTATTTCTAGGAATGTATTTCTAGGATATATTTCTTTAAAAAATTGCTCTGATTCATTCTTTTAAGCAGGAAGTCACAGCATAGAGAAGATCCTTATTGCAAACCGAGGTGAAATTGCATGCAGAGTGATGCGAACAGCAAGGAAAATGGGTGTGAAGTCTGTAGCAGTTTATAGTGAAGCAGACAGAAATTCCATGCATGTAGCAATGGTAAAGTATATTCATTAAAAGTTTGTGATAGGTTCTGTAAACAATTTAGTGTGTTATTAACATTCATTCACAACCGTGGTTCTCTTTAATAAGTTAAATATGAGAAGGAGTGTGTGTGTGCACTAATGCAGTTGATCTTCTCTTTAGAGTTACAATCAAGTTTTCCTGCAGTCGATGAAAAAATGTGCTTAGTCTCTGTCTTAGTACCTGTCAACCATACAGAAAATGCGGAAGAGTTTGGCTTTCTAAACTCCAGAGTAGCCTTTGGAGGTTAGCTGATGGACGCTATTTTTTTTGGAAGAAAGTCAGAATTTGGTTCATCCGTTAGAATCTCTACATGAAGAGAGGCAACGATTTAAACTGTTGCATGTTAGCAGTTGGTTAAATAGTAAAATGAGTTCAGAAATTGAAGTTTAAAATTGCGGTATACTATCTAATAGAAACGGTCTGTGCTAATGTTTTTCTTCCGAAACAGGCAGATGAAGCATATTGCATTGGTCCAGCACCCTCACAGCAGAGTTATTTGGCCATGGAGAAAATAATGCAGGTGGCCAAGGTCTCAGCAGCACAGGTAGGTAGACCATGGCCTTAAATCTTCTTCATTTTTACCCGTCGTATTTCCATTTCATGTTTTCCCTAGGGTTCTAATGAAGTTTCAGGGTTTTCTAAGCTAAACTAATGCACAAATAGGCTGGTAACCTTATTCTATTTTAGGCTGTTCATCCAGGTTATGGTTTCCTCTCAGAAAACACAGAGTTTGCAGAGTTGTGCAAGCAAGAGGGAATCATCTTCATAGGTCCGCCTTCATCTGCTATCAGAGATATGGGTATTAAGAGGTATCTGTTTTCTGATTTGTTGCTTGGTTATTTACAGTTTGACAAAGCTAGTTATGCTGAAAATGATCATTTAGTAACGAAATTATTTTATTCCTTCAATTTTGATTGTCATTTATTTGTATTGCATTCTTCAAAGGAATAAGCTCCAAGTTTCTGGCTGTGGGATTCCTATAAACATGGGAACAATCAAGATTGTTCATTTACTAGGGTTTTAATAATTGCATACTTAACTGAATCTAGTTATCCACTTGGATTGGGGCCTTACAGTGTTGTTATGTAGATAAAGGTTCCGCAGTCAGATTGGATCTCTTGCGTATTGGTCCCAAATGAATCAGACAGAAGAGTGGTGGAAGAGAAGATAGGGCAGCAGGGATTATTGGGGCTGGTTGTAAAACGGTGTTGGTAGGTTTTGTTCGTCACAGTGGATCATAGATACTTAGACCAAAGAAATCTTTCCAGGGTATGAAGTGTAAATCAAGAATATGGAAATAGGCTTATTACTAAACATGAACTGTGTAGCACTGATTTCATAGAATTAATTTTGTTCTCACTTACTAATGTGAGGGTAAATTACCTCTGTAATTTAACTAGTGTTACATGCCTATTTGATGTTATTGCTCAGTGTTTGGGTGCTTTATATGTGGTGTGAATCCCCAGATACAGCCTGTCTCACAAGAAGAGCTGTGCCTTTGCACAATTTTAAATATAGTTTTGGTAGGGTGCAGTGTTGTAATTTGAAAATGTTAGGTTTTGACCTCTTGATTTCTCCATAAATATGGGACAGCAGGTGGGAAAGAATGGTAAGTCTGGAATTGACTAAAACTTTTGTCTGGAGAGTTTAGAGACAAAATATTCCTATCTAGAGCATTTCATTAATTACAGTCAAATCCTGCCAAACCCACTTATGCAAGTAGTCCCTTTGAAGTCAGTGGAACTTATATGACAGCAATTAACAATGGGAGCATTTGCAGAATTGGAGCTTATAGTACGGAAAGTATTATTGTTATTCTAAACATAAAACTATTCTGTCAAAGCACTTCCAAAGCTATAATGTCTGCTGCTGGCGTTCCTGTTGTTGAAGGTTATCATGGAGAAGATCAATCGGATGAATGTCTAAAAGAACATGCCAAGAGAGTAGGATATCCAGTAATGATTAAAGCTGTTCGCGGAGGTGGAGGAAAGGTAAAGGAACTAATGCAAATCTGTTCATCACATGATGTAAAGTTGTTACGCCTCACTTTCTACTAATTAAATAGTATAAAAAAAATCTCTGAAAGCAAGGAAACTGGAGAATTACTTTTGGTTAAAAGTAGTAAAATAATGACCAGTACAGCATTCTGAAATCTCATTTCATCTGTTGTGCAGTCCGCTGCCAGATACGTAGCTGGTATAAACTGGTTTTGTTTACTGAAATGGATTTCCAGTAATATGCATAAGCAGAAAATTTGTCCTGTAGATTTACTTGGGTGAAATTGAGTGAGTTTAAAGTTACTTAATGATAGCTTCTGTTGTGAATTTTTCATTAGCAGTGATAAATGTTGCATAGGAAATTATTAACTAATCAGTAACTAATTCAGTTAACTAATCCGTATCTAGACACTTTTTCATGCATGGTGAATTCCCTATGTAAATCTGATTTTACTCTGATACAAGTTTGTATAAAAATGGCATGGTACAGAGTTCTAGTTATTACCAAAATAGGTGTATTTATTTTGTAAGGAAATCAGTTTTTCGTTGCCAGTCTTGGAAAATTTCCATGAGGGTCCAGAATCATATTGAATTTTGTACTCATCTGTATCAATGGAATCCTTTGGAAGTTCATATGAGATTTTGCTAATGGTTAAGAAAGAAGAGAAACGTGTTATTGTTAAGCACATCTCTTGTTTTAGCCATGCACCTGTTTGATGCAACTGTATTGTTAGGCATTTAGATCTTATTTTTTGTTCTATAGGGCATGAGAATTGCTCATTCAGAAAAGGAATTTCTGGACCAGCTAGAATCAGCTAGGAGAGAAGCAAAAAAGTCTTTCAATGATGATGCAATGCTGATCGAGAAATTTGTAGACGATCCGAGGTGCGAAATACATATTTTTCTAAAAGCAGTGTAATGTTTATTATAGTGTTGCATAAACATAGATATTTTGAAAGAAGGATGAAAGTGAGTCTTGTATGTTTTAATTGCATTGTGGCAGATACTAATGAATCAGAACTGTTTATTCTATGAGGTATTGAATTCATTATAGTGACTTTGTTTTGAATGATTAGAATTACAAAACCAGATGTTCTGGAAACATGGCAGTACCATTTAATGATGTTGCTTTAGAGCATGTTCCACGTATTTTGTACTGTGTTATGTTAAGACATCAACATTCCTACTTGCTAAGTCTTCCAAATTTGCTTTCCGTCCAGAAAGAATCACTTTATAACGCTTTAATTACGGACTTGTGAATCAGTAGGTCATGGTGTTTCTGCTGCTCTCAGATGTCCTAAACTATTTAGTAAATTTTTCTCTGTCTTGATACATAAACAGAAATGATTGTCTTTTGTCATAGATCTGTCTGATATTTTTGTGCTTTTCACCTCTCTGTCTTGCAGTATCACTTTAAAGAGACCATTCATTAGACTGAAACTAGGGGCCTGCTTGTGCTGACAGTCGGACGTGGGAAAATCTCACTAAATTCTTGGAGAATTTCTTTTGCCAGATTATCTGAATAGTGACAAATTATTGTTAACCTTTCTGTATAGAAAGAACTCCTACCACCTAGTAGTTGTCTTCCGAAATAGTATGTTGAAATAAATGAAATGCTGCCTCTTGTGAATTTCTACACTTAAGTAAATTATGGAAGAAAACATAATCCTAGTCATGACCGAATAATAGCACATTTTTACTTGTGTTATAATGAAATAACTGATAGAGAGGCAGCAGCCTTTAAACGTGTGTCTTGTTTGCTTATTTTTGAGCCGTGAGGTTTCATTGCAGTGGTCAGAGTGCAGAATCCTATTTCATTTAGAGGATTTAGGAAGTCTAATACAGTTGAAATCCTGCTGATTGCTGATAGTAGCCTCATTCCTACATTTTTAGCTGTTTGAGGGCAGACACTTAAACCCGTAAGAAATCCCACTGAAGTGTTAACAGGACTGTGTACAAGTTTAAAAGTCTGGGTGAAGTCAGTCATAGAAATGGGGCTTCAGTGATCCTCAGTGAAATACATTGATACATTTATTATTACGAAACAGGCATGTTGAAGTCCAAATATTTGGTGACCAGCATGGCAACGCAGTTTACTTGTTTGAAAGAGACTGCAGCGTGCAAAGAAGACATCAGAAAATCATTGAGGAGGCACCGGGGGTAAGCAGAAAGTTCTTAACATTTTTTTATAAACGGACATATTTTTAAACTTATTGCCTACCCCCTCTGATTTATCTAGTGGCGTTTATTATTTATAATTATAAATCTCAGTGCCTGTTTTAATTTTGCTGCGGAAAAGGCTCTAACTAAAAACAACGACTTCATTTAGGAAAATGATTGTCAGAGGAAAATTATGTAGATTTCGGACATGATGTCGATAAGGATTTTCCTACAGTGTCTAAACATCACAAAATATTCATATTCATATTTGTAGTAAGTCTGCTATCACTAAAAGTTGCAGTAATTTGTCATCTTTTGTATTATTATATTTTCAGCCAGGAATTAATCCTGACGTTCGAAAGAAACTCGGAGAAGCTGCTGTCAAAGCAGCTAAAGCAGTGAATTACGTGGGAGCAGGTAAGTCTGGAGGTACGGCTGCCCCACAGCATCCTCTTAGCTTAATTAGATTTGAGGCTCAGAGCAAATGGCATGTGGTTGTTCTACAGTATGACACATATTCCAGAATTTTTTGAGGCTTAAGTGAGTAATCACAGCAAAGACTTTTAAAATAACTATCTGTGAAGTCCAGAGTATTTTCCAGCTAAAAAATTAGCTGCTGAAATTATTTGTCACGTCTTTTTTTTTTTTTTCCTTACTCTTTTCTTTGGATATTTCTTTTAAATACGTGTAAGTGTTTTTTTAACAGTCTGGAAGCGCTTTTTGCAGCTCTGCAGAAATACAGCTGTTACTCTAGGGGAGAATGGTTGTTTGACAGCACGCGGTATGTAAGGGTGCAAGGAAACAACTCTTCTGTTTTTAGATCTCAAATGTGCAACCCTTTAAGATAATTTACATAGAATGTAATGAAAGTCAGTGCATCTGTGTTAGAAAAAATAGTGTTGTGCTAACATCTGTTCCATGATTTCTGACAGTTAGCCATTTTAGACCTACTGCTTGGAGCATTAACCCAGCTCTCTGGTTCTGTGAAAGCATCTTTCCAAACTACAAATCCCCAAGTGTCTTACGTCCATCCCCAAAAAGCCTTGTTTCCTCTTATTAAATACTTCAGGAACGGTGGAATTTATTATGGATTCACAACATAATTTTTACTTCATGGAGATGAATACCAGGCTGCAAGTGGAGCACCCGGTTACAGAGATGATCACTGGAACAGACTTGGTGGAATGGCAGCTTAGGGTAAGTGGTAATTGATTTTACAGGTAGAATCCCTCTTCTCTGGTGAGTAATGTTCTTTGGTACTGTCTGTGGGAGACGAGATTTGTTTTCAGGTACTTATCTCCCATTCAACTACTCAGGTACAGTTTCTGTTGCTCCACAGGAAAATCTTCTTACCCTGTTTGATTGGAGAGTATTGCGGAGATGCTCTGAATTCCAACAAAGACTTTTTGTGGGGAGCAAAACTGTGGTTTCCATATGTTTATCCAAATTATAGAGAATGTGGGAAGTGAGAGGAGTCGGATCCCGATTTTCTGCTTGCCATTCTGAACAATTTTTATTATCTCTAATTTAAACGTGTAGTATGTTTCTGGCCAAAAAATCATTCTTGGGTCAGACCAGAGGAGAAAAACACTTCGCAGGAGCATGTGTTTGGTGTTCTGTCAGTGTATTAACGTTCCAAAATAAAGGTATAGTTGTGTGCACTGGAAACAGGCTGTTTCCTCACGCACCCAATATGCACAGAGGTTACTCACATGTCCGAAGGATAACAGGAAGTTTCAGACCTCAGGGAACTGGAAATTTAAAAACAGTTCTGGTTAGGTAAATCTAAAAGTGATGAGAACAGCACGTAGTGAGCTTAAGTAGACAAGGTGGCAGAGTGTTTTGATGTAACCAGAAAAGAAAACCGAACTGGCAAAAGCGAAGGGGGAGCTTGTGGATTGCTGATCAGGGAATGGAAGTCGACCATTGATGAGCGCTGAGTTGGAGCAACGTTCAGACAATACTGGAAGAAAGAGAAAGAACGTGGAAAGCTTTGGAGGTCGTGGCACGCGGCTTATTATGAGTTATAATATGTACAAAATGGTGTCTTTATCAGTTCTTTGAGAGGTGATTTTTCTGAACCTGTGTAGTACTGCTTTGTCTTTAAGAAGTTATATTCTGCTCTCTCTGTTGAAATCCTTCCACGGTTCAGTGGCAGAAGGCAGAGCGTGGAAAATCCCTGACGCTTCAAATGAGGATGAAATTTTGCTACTTATATTTAGTGAGAACTTGCATTTGCTTGTGTAGATGGGAATTGTGTTGCTTCTTAGTAAAGGATCTCCCCTCTGTGCTTAACTGCAGCAGGCTTGTCGTTATTATTTTATCTCCAAAAGTCCTCTTTTTGAAATTGCAAACCGGTGTGTTGTTGGTCGTATTTTTGTGTTTTGTAATCTGAATTCCTTTGAGGAATAAAATGATTATTACTTACTTATCTATTAAAACTCCCTGAATTGTAAGAAATCCTATTTGAGAAGCTTTCCCTGAAAGCTGTACAGATCCCAGAGTACGCGAAGGAATCAACAGCATACGCCAGTAGTGTTGGCTGCCAGTAATCAGTTTTATCATCTCCTTTTAGAGCAATTTTTCTCTAGCAAAATCTCGTCTTAGTTGATCAGGCTTTTACTTAAACATTTAATTATTTTTTAACAAAATCAGTAGAAAGAAATGAAAATAGTTTCCATATGCTTTAGCTGTGTGAAAATACTACAAGGTCAATTTACGGTAATAATCCAAAATCCTTTGGCTGTTGACTCCCAGAAAGAAAGGAAGGAGTAACTTCAGAATTAGTCATTTATGGTGTAGCACTTCTTTGTCCTAGCTCTGTCTTAATGTGCTTTCTAGCTGTTCATCTCTAGAAGAAAGATCTTTAAATCTTCTTTGATACATTGACGCTCCTTGTTAGATCCTGCTCTTAGATAACAAGACAGCGTACTGCCCTAGAATTCAGATTGCTGTCACAAATTCTAATATCATAAATACAGTAGCTGACTTCTTTTTTCTGAACTGAGTCTCTAGCGTGCTTATACAGAAAGTCAGTGCTTGCACAAACTTCTTTGACATAGGGAGTAAAGACAATTGCTAGGAAACTGTTGTTTTACATAGAAATAATCTTAATTTTGTTACAAAGCCATGGGTTTTTCTTGCTTGAGTTTGCAGCTCTTCTATCTCTGAATGATTACTGTTCTAAAATACAAGACGAAGTGGTCTTGAAATTGTTTGTTTTGTTCAAGCATAGCGTTGCACTCTTTTTTAACTACTGCTTCTTGACTGCATTGGCTCAGGCACCAAGGCAATTGTGTTGTCTGTTTTGATATTCTTTTTATTCCTTCAATTGCTGTGTTTTATGAAATTTGCGATTGTTTCTTCTGCCAAATAGTAGTAAACGGTGTGGTGCGCATGTCTCCAGAGATGTGTGTGTGTGTGTGTGTAAAAATATACCTACACATGTATCTCTGTGTATGTTGTGTGTGTGTTTTTTAAGGAGGGGGAAGACAGGGTGTGGGGGGGAGAGAGAGAGAGAGAGGGAAAGGAAGGGGATGTGTATGTAATAGCCAAGTGTTTTTGTCCAAATGGAAAATATTGATCCCGCGTTAAAGAAAAAAATACTATTGTTTCCAGGTTGCAGCAGGAGAGAAGATTCCTCTAATGCAGGAGGAAATTCGTCTCCGAGGCCATGCATTTGAAGCGCGGATATATGCTGAAGACCCTAATAATAACTTTATGCCAGGGGCTGGGCCGTTGTTACACTTATCCACCCCACCACCTGATAGTTTCACCAGGATAGAGACTGGAGTCAGACAAGGTAAAACTGAGGACAGCGGTGTAATTGGAAATATTTGCTATCAAAAGTTTTTCTTTTTAATCATTTGGCCTGCCTAAATAACAGTTTGTCCCACAGGATGTTGCCATAAATACAAATTTTTACAGAATTATTCTTCCTTATGATTTTTCATGTACTTTGGTCAGTCACTGAATATTTTTTTTATCTCTTTGTATCCCGATTGTCCATTGGGTTATGCAGAGTATATTCCCATCAGAGTTTACCAGTCCTGCAATTCTGATTGTGACAAAATCAAATTTGAGTAACTTTTTCTCTGCAAAAGTCTATACTGAGGTCGATCTTAGAATTGAAATGCTGGGTCACAAGTTAAAGATGAATTTTCTTTAAGGGCATGCAGAGACCTGGCTGTTAATGGCAACAGAGCTTACTGCCATGTGCTGGGTGATGCTATGCTTACCAACTTTCAGAAGATACGTGTCTTAGAAATTTTCTTTTCGTGTGTTAGGTGATGAGGTTTCCGTCCATTATGATCCAATGATTGCAAAGTTAGTTGTTTGGGCTGAGGATCGGCAAGCAGCGCTGAGAAAGTTGCGATACAGTTTGCATCAATATCATGTAAGTAGAAGGAACCCAGTGTGATTTCAAATCCATTACGTCTTGAACTAACGACAGACTAATAAAATACTACAATGAAGCAAATGTGGCTTCACAGAGGGGGCCTGTGTTGTCGCTACCGTTGCAGAGTCGTTTCTCGTTTGCTGAGGCTATATTTTTCCTAATGCGCAAACCATTTTCATCAATGGAGTGAGTAGAGATAAGTGAAGTTCTGTTTTACGTGTGGATTTTTCTTAAGTTTGCAGTATCTTAAATTGCAGCTGGGACTTGGTACAACAGTAAGCCTAAATGACAAACTATTAAACCACAGTCTGAGCTTTCTCAAAGTTAAATTGAGTTTGCCTGTGGAATTCATGTCGGACAATGCGTGCTTACAATTTCTGGTGTTCGAAAGGATTAGATTTAGAGTATACCCATGGTAAAGAAAGATGGAGAATTTTTGAAGCTACTGATTCTTTTTAAAAGCGCCCCTTTTCCCCCGTGAAAACCACAGGTACTGTATCTCTTTTCAAAACCAGAATTCAGAAGGTTTGACTTGATGTGATACTAAATATTATTCCCTGCATAATTTACCTAAGCGTTTAAATCGGCAACATAAAGATGACTGTGAAAATGTTTGGCCCACTATTGTTTTAGCTAAAATTTAAGATTACTGCAAGTGAAAGAGGTAACTGGAAAAAAGGCAAGGAATTCTGTTTTCTTAGTATTTCTGTCAATACATTTTGGCAGCACAGCGTCGTTAATCGGTTTCGCTGCTTTCTCTAAAATAAAATTTTCCTGTTCTTTCTTTGATTACGTATTTAGGACTACAGGAAGTGCATGGAATCTAGTAAATTTATAAAAGTCACATTTGTTACTGTTGAAAGATCAGGCCTGGCATATCTGAAAGTCTTGTAGCTCTTTTTAAAAACATGTTCTTTGCATATTGGTAATATTTTTTTAAATACTCAGAACAGGATTTTCCAAAGAAGTAATTTTTCCTTCAGTCACCTCCCATTACTGTTGCTGGGAAGCGTCTGGGTAGTGCTCTTCTGGGAAAGCTTTTTTTTTTTTTTTTTTTTAATTAGAAGGGCAGTAATGAAACATATCAACTGAATTAATTACATTTTCTTGGTAAATGTTGTGTTTTGCTGATGCTGTTTTAAGAAAGATTCATTCATGTATCCGTTGAGCAGAAATCTGTGTATTCATTCATAACTTCATTTCCATTTGGCAATACGCTTCTTTTTCTTAACAGATTGTAGGATTAAACACTAATATTGATTTTCTGCTAAGCCTTTCGGGACACCCACAGTTTGAGGCTGGAAACGTGCACACTAATTTCATTCCTCAACACCACGATGAACTGTTTCCAACCAAAACGGCAACCCCACATGAAGTTGTGTGTCAGGCAGCTCTAGGACTCTTACTGAAAGAAAAAATGGTAACAGATGCTTTTAGAGATCAGTCAGCTGGTAAGGATCATTCTTACTTTCCTTTGTTTTATTTTGCTTGTGAGTGGATGAGACAGTGTGGTGAGCTCATGCGCCATTATTTTATTTGTGTATTCCGTCTTTATTTTGCTTTTTTCCGGCTCAGGGTTCTGCATTCTAGCATCTGCCTGATACTCACAAGCAGGGCAAACTACAATTGTTGTTAAGAGACAGATGCTGAATATATCACCCCTGTAATGTACAGAGTACTTCCATTGATAGAGAGGCGGTATTCAGAAGATCGTGGGATCCAAGTCCATAATCTGTGTTACTGCGTCCTCTTTTGCTCTTCAAGCACGAAGGGGGACTATTGGTCCCTACAGTCAATGCAAGGCCATCAGAGTTAAAAATGACTCAGCTAGGACTGGAAGAGCCGGTAAGGCTTAATGGCGTGAACAGAACTCCAGGAGCTGAACATTCTTGAGTTCTAATGCTGTGATTTTGAATATACTAAAAACCACAAGGACGTGATTCATAATTTACTGAAGCAAATGGGAAGACTCCAAATAAAAAAGAGGTTTTTGTGTTACTCTTTTCCAAGTCTGGGTATTCATATCTGTTCAGAGGAGGATGTTTATAATGATGTGTTTGAGGGTTAAAAGTATAAGCTGTTGATATCTAGACCAATGGGGAACGTGATTGCTGTTAACAAAAGTTTCGTGCAAATCTAATGTATGCTGCCAACAGCCTTGTTAATTTTGTTTCTTCTTCCACTCTGACTATCCTAGAAGCGTGGAAAACTGGGATTGGAAAGAATCCCATACGTCATATGCCCGTACCGTTGCTTTAAGAGAGGATAAATTAGTTGGGCAATGTCTGATAGGTGTGTATCTTACCCTACTCAAAAACAGCAAGTAAAGGAAAAGCCATCAGCCTTCCCAGGCAGCGTGTTGCCATGCTTGCCTATTCTTGCAGTTGGAACCTTTTTCTAATGGTTAATCTGAATATTCCGTTTTGCAGTTGAATTCCCATGATTCCTTATCCTGTTCAAGGACGTGTCCATGGAGAAGAGTGAATTTCCTTCCTCTTAGCGAATACCTCTTGTTAGTATCGTATGTTCTGTGGTTTCCGGAGCCTCAGTTTTTTCAGTCTTGATGCTTGAGTGGGGGGTTGTAACTGTCTGTAACAGTGGTTCCCTGACCTTTATGTGCAATACAAATATTTGCTTTTAAATACATAAGCATAATGGTAGTGATAGGACTGTGACTTTTACGGTGTAAGTTCCAAGTGTTGTGTTTTGTCCAAAGAGAACAAAAGTAACGTGTCCGTATATTTTGTATTTTAGATAAATTCTCACCGTTTGCATCCAGCAGCGGTAGAAGAATAAATATGTTGTACACTAGAAAACTCTCTCTTCTGGACGGAGAAAACAGTAAGTGAATAACTAAGAGTGCAAGAGGGGAGAGAAATACTTGATGGACAAAGTTATTTCCACCGAAGTGTGAAAATTCAGGCTAAGAAATAGCAAATAGAAGCAGTAGGAATTTTATGCAGGTTAAGCTGGGAAGGAAATTCAGACTTGCATATGGTTAATTATTAAATCCATGCCCTTAGATCTTGAGGAAGTATAAACGAAATGAAAAGGTCAGTAATCGTGTTCATCATCTGAAGGAATATGGTTGCGTTTTTAGAAGTGCCATCAACTTTTTTGACTTCTCTTTGGTGTGGAAATGTTCAGCACTTTTACCCTTCAAAAATCTATTTTCTGTCCAGATAGCGTAAGTTCAGATGTTCAGCTTTGGGAAAAAAAGTTGTCTAGAAGTCAGTACTAGCTGTCACAAATCTGCAGTGTCTGCTAGGCTAATCTGAGAATAGTTGTTCTTGTCTTAGTATTGAGAGGGCTCTTTTTATCAAAAATATATTCGGAATATTGTTTATATGTCATTATTCCCTAGGTCCTATAAGTAAATCTACTTATATATATTTTGTTTTATTGAACAGTTGTGGATGTAACTGTAAATTACAATCAAGAAGGGTCATACAACATGCAGGTATAAATCCTTTTTTTTTTCCCAGATATTTTGTTAGATAAAAGCAGAGTCAGTTTCTGGTAGACTTCTCTTGGTATGAGCTGTTACTAAGGTTGCTTGATAATCACCAATATAAGATTCTATTTTTGGTTTACTTGCGGGCGTGGTAGACTTTAATAGTCTGGCCGGAAATTATGTGTGCTAGATGCTGGATTGGGTGGAAGATCTGCTAAAATGCTTCTGAAACTAAGGCTAAGAAAAGCATTTGCTTTTCTGGTGTTTAAAGTTCTGGCTCTGTTTTCCCGTTCCTTAAATTTGCTTTTATAAAACCTTGGAGGTTAGATTTAAATCAGCATTTAAAAAGACTTTTTCCACAGGACTCCTGCTTTATTCTGGGCATGAGATGGACCTGCTGTGGGATAAATAAAAGCTCTGTAGAGCACTCTCTGTAAGATAATACTTTTTACTTTGATGATAGAAATTGGAAACTGTTTACCAGATGTGATAAGGAAAGGTCAGAATAGGAGAGCGTTACGGTTGAATTGAATGCTGCCCAGCAGAATTGGCTTCTGTCTCTGTCTGCACTGTGGAGAGCATAGAGGCAATATCCACTACAGAGGATACTAGTCAAGACACTTAAATATAGATTTTTTTTTTTTTTGGTAGTAGTCTCTAATTGTGTGGCTTACGGGAGTTCTGTTCTGCTGAGTATTGACTATATCCCCTGTACCACCTGGAGTCAAATAGGAGCTCCTAATGGATTGCATCTTAAATTTGGCACGCAAAATGATTGACTACTTGATAACTCAATCTCTCTGTATTTCCGTTTCTTGTATCTAAATTTCAGAAATTGGGCATTATAAGGATAAGTCAATATTTGTGGACTGCTTAGACTCTGCAGAGATGAGCTTAGTGGAAAAATACTGAGTATAGCCACATGTCAGATAGCTCAGAGCCTTATACCCATATTTTGGCTCATCTGAATACTCATATAACCCACATCCCTCAAATAATTCCTAGGTTATGTTAATGTATTGATTATGTGTGTAATGCTTGAGAGCTTTTACATTTTATGTTTATCCCATATAGGTAGTGTCAGCCAAAACAGAAAAGGAGGTTGGACAGAATGCAAAGTTGGGGCCTTCTGGGGAGGGGGAAGTGCAGCTGGGGAGAATGTAGACTCCCAAGGAGGAAGGAAGAATGGGAGTTGAGATGGGGTGGAGAGCAGCTGGAGATAACAGATGAAAAGACAGAATCCTGTATGCCTCAGGAGCTGATCAGGAGGAGGAGAAGAGTGCCTTGTGAGTACTTTAAAACCTGCCCTGAGGCCCATCAGCTAGAGCAGCTTGCTGGGCCGTGGAACCAGCAAGCGCTCACAGGTGCTGCCCAGGGTACTGACCTGGCTTATACCTCTGCTCAGGACACTGATAAACCAAAAAGATATTTTCTCAGGGATCAGTTTCAGATGAGCAGTATCCATTCAGTGCGCTTGATAAGGCCTTTGTTCAGTGGAAAAAATAGCACATGACTGTATAAATAAAGGCTGAATTTAATCTCTACGAGTAACATTCTTAAAGATTAGCAAGTCTCTAATTCTCTGCTGAGTGATGTCAAACTTATAACTGAAAGCATCAGTTAAATGTAATGCACTTGCTATTCTTACTGTCCTTGCATTTGGAATTTGCTGCAGAGGTGCAATTTGCACCGACTTAGATGAAAGGGTAACTTGCAAAAAACGACCTTGCTGTTTGGTCTTTCTTTTGTTGTTTTGGTGTCTACTTGACGCTGCCTGCTTCCATTATTGGTCTCCTCTGCTCCTTTGTAGGTGTACTGAATATATTGTAGTTTTTGTATTATAAGCTTCCAAGAGCGAGGAACTTACCCGTCTTTTGGAAAGCATTGTGGAAACTTGCCACGTGAGGCAAATAGTATGGGTATTTCAGTTTGAGCAAAGTCAAGACGTTAGGGCAAGTTAAAAATACTAGGTCCTGGTGGCATCGCTTACAGGCTATTCTGATTGTTGTTGTTGTTGTTGTTCTTCTTCTTCTCGGGAAATACCATGCCCTCGTATTTTGCTGAGTACTACTGCGTGGTTTATGATAAAAAATTGTCCTGGGAGAGCGTATTAGCTAATCCTCTCGGCTGACTGCACGGGATACTGAACGCATTCTGTTAATTGAAAAATAAAGGATATGTAAGATTTAGAAAGTTTTTTTTTAATTCCAGAATTATCTGAATCACGGGCTGTGAGCGTATACAGTAAATCCTAACTTGTGTTTTATTGTATTAGAGTTCATGAAGGGTCAGGCTTTGTCCTTATAAAAGCTTTTAACTTTCAGATTAAAGATAAAATGTTCCTGATTTCTGGAGATATCTTCAATGAAGGCGATTCTGTTTACTTGAGGTCTTCAGTAAATGGAACAGTTTGTAAGTCCAAATTGGTCATTTTGGACAACACCATTTATCTCTTCTCTCCGGTAAAGTTCCTTTTTTTATTATCACACGTGTAAAATCTCAACTAAGCAGAGTTTTACCGATTTAAATGGACAATATAAATTGCAAGGGAGTGTGAAAGAGAGTCATAATATCTAGAATCGTATTTTTTTGTAGTGGTGCATAATGTTGTTGGATAAATAACCATAATTAGAGGTTGCTGCTTATGATCTGTGAGTGAGTGATTGCCTGTGCAAAGATAAGATGCAATTGCCTGAATCAAAGGAGTCGCAAATAATGGTGTTGGGGGAACCCCCCCGCCCAAATATTAAAACGGTCACGTATCTGAGCTTGTCTTAGAATAGTAGCACAAATTTGCAGCTGAAAAGTATTTGAAGGTGCTTGTAACTCTGATACTTTTATTTTCATACAATTCATTGTTTAAATTAAAGGATAAGAGAGAAGTCAAGATGAGTCTGAAGGAGGGTAACTTCAGCTGACAGCAGAAAATTAGAATTACAAGTGATTGTGGTATTATCTGCATTGTGTTAGTAATGACATTTGGAAAAGGAGGTACCCTAATTTGCATGATTAAGCTGGTAATTTTTTATTGCAGTAAAAAAGATTGGGGGGCTTAAAGTAACTCAATAATAAATGTAATCTAAAATCTAAATAAGTAAATAAATTATTGTGTATTTAATTTTAACAGTTAACCTCTATCTCTGAGCCACTTAAGACTTTCAGCAGCGTGCAGTGAAAACTTTGCTGCTCCAATGACGAGGACAAAATAACTCGTGCTGGAACAGCAAAGCAGCGTTCCTGGGGCATCAAAGTGGAGTCTGAGGCGAGGAATCTGGAATAAATCGCAGGAACTTTAGTGTTTGGGTAGGAGGTGGTGGAGAATGAGTCTTTGGGAGCTCTGGATAGGCAGTTTGGGAGAAATTAGGGGATTCTGGAAGAGAGCAAGAATTTCTCACTAAGCGTAGCACCGAATCCATTTTACTGTGGATTATGGAGCGTTCTCCATATTGGCAGGGGTGGGTGACGAAGATGCCGGTCTCCTCCCCAGTTACTACAGCAGCCCGCCCAGCCTTTCCTTGGGCAAATAGCCTTTATTCATTGTCTGAAACCGTCTATGGTGTTGCTACGTGAATAGGGAAGGTGTAGGTTTGGAACAAAGATCCATGTGGGTCCTCCTTTTTCCACAGGGGTTGTTGCTCCCTCGCTGATGCTATAGCGGCAGCAGGCCCAGCTTTTGAGGACTTTGATATTGGCAAAGAAGTCAGCGTGCCCACAGCGTGCCCTTTCGCTGCCCTGGCCTCAGTAGTCTGCTACCTTAAACAGCTGACTCATTTGCCTCTGCGTAAAGCTGGACCTGTTCTCTGTGTATGTCAGTGTGTATTAGTGGTTTTACTTTGTGTTGTTAATTTGGTGGGATTTTTTTATTTCTTTTGTTTGTAGGAAGGTAGTGCTCAGATTGGCCTTCCTGTCCCCAAGTACTTATCCGCAGTGAGTTCGGTGGGAATGCAAGGTGGTGCCGTAGCACCCATGACTGGCACAATTGAGAAGGTAATTATAATGATATGGGTAGGAAAATGAATTCTCCAACATCTGTCCGTGTTCAGTCTTCCAACAACGGTGCTTGCTTCTGCGTTGCCAGGAAAGAGCCAGGGCTAAACGTGTCGGTTCTGTGTGGCTCCACCCAACAGGAAAAATCCCTGTTTAGTCTGCTTTTCAGCAGCCGTCCAAGAGTGTTTCAGGCATCTAGTCTCCTTTTCCCAGAGCTCAGAAAAATCTCAGTATTTCACTGGTTCCACCACTTTAATAAATTTATTACTTCATCTTAATTACTTTCTAAGCCTGAAGTGTTACACAGGCTTTTTGATCCACATCATCCAACCAGAAGAATGAGATGGTGGGTGTACCTGCCAGAAAAGGTTAAGCTCAGAAATGCCTTTTTCTGTTCAGCTCGGTGTTTTGTTGTTTCTGAGAAGAAAAGCCTAGAAGTATAGAAGTATAAAGAGGGCTATAAATAGAATTTAGGCATACAAATACGTGGTCCGAACGTGCCTTAAGTTCAGCTTTTGGGGGATTTCAATCCAGTGTTAGTTTAGTGTAAGATACATAAGGCAGTGTGTTAAACCAGAACCACGACCCGGGGTCCCCTTTTTTCGCTTTGCAGATAAGGGACCTCCAACACTAAGTTCAGCAGTTATATTCCCTCTTGTTAATATTTTTTTTTCTCTAGCTTAGCAAGTGTTGTGCATTTTTCCATACATTGGAAAAGTTTCAACACAAGGGAGATTTCCAGGATAGTTTCCAGTATCTCCTAGAGATAAAAGAGCATAACCCTTTCAGAGGGAGGAGTACACTGAACGTGCATCTCCTCCATCCTGAGTGAATGATCTCACTCAGGGTTATTGCAGAAATAAGAAGTGGCTCCAGCAACCTTCTCTCTGTTTTAAAAACAGCTGTAGTGACTGGCTCCAGGAAGAGGTTCTGGGCTTTCTCTCTCAAAATAGAAGCTCTTAAGCCAGAAAGGGTAGAATATACCTTGCCTTTTCGTAGTTTCTCTTTGAGACGTAAATGGCTTCCTGCTCGTCCGGCTAGCTGTTACTGAACCTTTTTCTACAACCTCTGCCTGCCCCTGAGTATTCTGTAGGGAACTCGGATACCCAACTCAGCAATAATAAAGACATTATGAGGTTTTGCAAAACCGCAGTCACTCAGTAGATCCAACCAGAGACTTTTGCCTCCTGTGTTGATCAAGATCCGTGTGATGATTTTTAGTGGTACGGACATACCTGATTTTTCCTCTATTTTCGCTTGCCTTTGTAGGTGTTTGTGAAAGCAGGGGATAAGGTTCAGATTGGAGATCCTCTCATGGTTATGATAGCTATGAAAATGGAGGTGAGTGACACACAAAAGGTTTTAATTGCTGAGAAAATGCAAGTATGATGATACTTCAATCAGTTTCGGTTTGAAGCTTGGTGCAGAGTCTAGCTTGGATAGATGTCAGTATCACTTTGTACGCTGTGAAACGAGTGTTGTGTCTGACAAGATTTTAGAGGATTACATTTGCTGTTACTTTATTAATAAAGGATGTTACTATAATCTGTGGTGTTCTTCAGATGTTTCAACATTCATTTGGCTAGCTTTTCAAATCCCTCTGTTCCCTCCCGAGAAGCTAATAATCCTTTCTTTTTTCTAACACAAAACCACCTAGGTATATTTCTTCGTTGCTCTCTGCGATATAAGCATATTATTCTAATGCCTGCAGTTACTTAATGCAGAAACTTAGCTAACGGTGACTCTGTAATGTTCCCAGGATTTTCTTGTTTATGATCTGTTAATTACTATTTGCATAAAGCTTTACAAACAGTAAACTAGTGATTCTTTGTAATCGTCCCCCGTGGCATTCAGTGGAATAGTTATTTTGGCCGTTGTCATCTGCTACGTTGCTTGACATTGGCTAAAATTCCTTGCTGTAGTTTCTGTAGTCTGCACTGACTGGGTCTGGGTTTATTCATTTATTTTACGGCTCGGTTTGCAGTAGTAGAGTGATGACTGGTGAGAGAATTTGCTTTTCCCTGTCATGGCCTTTTATAAATTACACTAAAATTACATGAAATCCAACATCTGTGCGCTAAGAAAAAAATTACAAATTATTTGAGATCGTGTGGGAAACGTTTGTGACCCTCCAGCTGATATCTCAGATGGACGTTACCTGAGTGGGTCCTCTGTTTTTTTTTCAGTGCTGTTTTAAATATGAAATGTAAAATGTCAGAAGCAGATTCTTATTTAAATGAATCCTTGCTAAGATATGAGCAGTTAAGATCTGTAACTAAATGTTTGGATATTAGAGTAACCCTATTCAGAAAATTATCTAGAAAGCAAACTCCAGCGGAAAACTAACCTGATAAAATAACAAGTAGGCCAATTTGAGGATTGGAATGTAAATATACTCTTCCTTCAGTGTCACTAATAGCTGTATTTCAACTGGATTTTGCCTAAATCTGTTTGATAAAGACCCCTCTTGGTCCACAAACAAAAACGTCTGTAGTAAATGTGCAGATTCCGCTTAAGGGAATAGATCTGTTGTCTGATTAACATACTGGACTAAAGCTGTGTTGGTTTTGGCTGATAGCTAGTACGTTAACAAAAAGTAACAGTGAAGTAAAATATCAGTAATGCTTCAAAACGTGCCATTAAATAGCATATTTGTCCCCGGGTTCTTCAAAATAAACATTGATCAGGAAATGGAATTTGAAAAAGGACAAAGGTAACGCTTTATAAGAAGGCTTAAAATAAATGTGCATGTGTCAGAGGAAGTGATTAAGTGTGTTTTGTTTTAATTGCACCAGAAAGTAATATTAGCGTTTGATGCAGAAAGAAAAGAGCACTGTAAAAATATTCTGCTGGTTCACTATTGATCTGTTCATATGCAGCATACCATAAGAGCTCCAAAGGCAGGAGTGATAAAAAAGGTTAATTTCCAAGAAGGTGCCCAAGCCAACAGACATGCTCCTCTAATTGAATTTGTGGATGAAGAGTCTGAGTCAAAGTAAGATTCAAGGAAGGTGCATTTTACTTTTTCATCTTTGCTGATTTTCTCTGAGGAGAAGGTGTCTTTGTTTTTTCAGCAAACGTTTTTGTAAAGTGGATTGGGGAACGGTTTCCTCTGTGCAATCCCCAAATAGTTTGACTGTACATTGGACTAACTTTGCTGAAATATTGGATATTGCTGTACTGTAATCATGTGTATATAATTAATGGACCTATGTGATTGTTGTTGAATAGTTATGTTTGCCTCTGTAAAGGTATTGGACTGCAAAATGATACTGACCTCTGTTTGTAAGGACTGGAGAGGGTTGTTTTTTTTTTTTTTAAACAGAGAGCAAGGGTTCTTTTCATTCACAGCTGCCTTTTTTTTTCTCCGAGGTGTGAGAGTATTCATTGAAGAGAGATCTGAAAGGTGTCAACTTATGAATTCATTTCTCCGGCCAAATTCCTGTTTGCGTCTTGTCATTTTGCCTGAGTGAGGGTTTCAGGGTAGTTCCTTAGCCCATGATCCCTCTAAGTCGCTGCCCTTTGGTGCTTCTGTTTTCCCATTTACCTCAGCTAGTAGTGGAAAATTTGTATTTCCACAGTTACTTTAAAATACTGTGGATATCTGATAAGAAGCATTCTAAAAAATGCATAGTAGCGTTTGCTACAATAATCAAAGTTGGAACATGACTATTTTCCAAAAAGAGCACTTGATCTTTAAAGATGAACTAGTAGCACAGAAACACAATAGTCTTATGTAATGATTAAAATGTGTGCCGAAATAAAAGACTAACTTCAAAATTCACCTTATTTTTTTCATATTGCTCATCTTCCAAATGCTGTTTATTGGCCAGAATGAAATATACCTTGTCTTTGTAACAACAGGAACCACAAGTAAGAATAGTTACTGTTGCTTTTGTAGCTGCAATCTTGCAGAAGGGAAAACGGGCAGTTTTTCTGATATGCAAAGAGAGTGTTAGTCAGACACAGCATATTGATTGTTTATCATAAATTTATTTTAACTTTTTTAAAAAGCACCTCAGAAATACAGGAGAAGGGAAGGAAAAATGCATGCTTTAATTGCTACTAACTTGCAAAATCTTTGTGTTATGGTCAAGTTCTGCTTGTCATACGAACTTTTGGTACAGTGATTGAAGACCTTAGCACAGTTTTGTAACGTGGTTTGTCCTGCAGACAGGGAAAGATATAGACGCTGCAGTGATCCCAATCTGGTAGATACATCTGTGCAAATGGATCTTTATACTTATCTGAAATCCTGTTTCTGAATCAATATGCAATATCATGAGGAATTCTCTAGTCTGATTCTGTAACTGTGCAGCCTTACTGCAGTGCAGATAAAAAGTGCCAAAATATATTGGGTCCTTATGGTCTGTATATTACAAGTAGCGTAACACTTTTCAACTTTCCTTGTAATCCGGTGGCCACCTAAAAAAAAAAATTACAACCCCACGATCATCCTGTAGAGTGCTGCCACAGTGATTTTTATTCACAACCAAATAAAGATTAAGCTTAACTTTGAATGTTTGTTTTCGTTTTTCTCCATTTTATTCTTTCCTTGGTGGCTTATGTGAAAATGTTTATGTATGAGAGGCCTTTAAGCAGCTGTCTGATAGCGTGCAGACCACAATCTGCAGATCACAATTAGAAAGCGCTAACCTTGCCAATCAGAGTCGATTTCACTGCAGGTAAGTTTAATGTCTTGTTTTATCTATCTGTTGGATCTGCATCCAAAATATGAAGTCAGTCCTGAAGAGAGACAACAGTTTGGCATTTCAAATTTGTTTTTTCTACTTGACTTTGTTGTGTTCCTAGATCTACCATCTTATATACTCTGAAGCTGTAGCGAAGCATTGAAATGCCGAGCATGAGGTTCTCGGTCCACGAAATCTGTGCCGCTTGCTTTGTCCGACCAACGAAAAAGAGCATGTTCCGTGGAAGCTGACAAAATGTCTGGGTTGGGAATGAAGGAGGACAAATCATTTTTCAGTTTTAGAAGTTTTCTCTCGCTTCTGAAAATTAGCTGGGTTTTTTTTCTCTCTCTTAAGTTTCCCTCAAGAGAGAATTTTGAGTTTTCAGGGAGTGGTTTTGATTATTTCAGAATTTATGCCTTTAGCAAATTTCTTGCAGCAGGCCCTGTCAGAATTTGAACATCTGAAATGTTGTGCTGCAATGCGATTTAATTGAACTGTTAGAGAAGCACAAAGAATTGTTAAAGATAGGTTCTTCTTGTAATCCAGAATTTTAATTTATAAAATATTCAGAAAATTTCTGTCTCTTACAAATGTGAAACGTGACACATTTTCTTGTGTTATAAATGTGACTGGAAAGGGACGTATGATAATGAAATAAAAGTAACTAAATTGTTTAATGCAGAACAGCCAGTGGTAGAGTGAGGAAGAAAACAAGGGATAAGTGGTTCAAATTTAATATTCTAGTACTTGAGCTGAAAGAACAATCTCTGCCAGTTATTAGTTATCAGTATACCGTTGCCAATAACGCTGCAGTTCTGATACAAGACTCAAAGATACTATAGAAACAATGAATTTGAACTGATTCTGACTGTAATGATGTAGTCTGCTGCTGCCAGAGGAGAGAGGGGACTGGATCATGGGATATGTAGCGTAGCCACACATGGTAGCCTATAGGAAAGAACGAGGGCATTAGCGTTTCGAGCTATGGCTTTGTGAGACAGCATCAGAGAGTAATGCTCTCGGTAAGCTTACTGGTCAGCTTGTTATATCAAGCGTGTAACAACCTGCTGGTAATGTGAATGTGGCCATGCCAAATTATAGCATGCACTCACACACGCACGCACGCACACACACAGCTGGTGTAAGTTACCATTCACTGGAGCCGAAACCCAGTGGAGATCTGTGGCATGGAGCCTCAATTCATGCTGAAGTAGTGATTAGGACATAGGGAGTGGAAAGCAGGAGAGCAGGATGGTATTCTCATTTCAGCCACTGACTCACCGTGCCTTCAGGCAAGTCACTTAAGGGATATTTGCCTTTGTTTCCTGCTATGTAATGAGGATAATGGTACTCAAAGCACTGGAAAATGTGTGGATACAAAGTTTTATAAATAATTCTTTTCTGTGCTTACTGGTAAAATTGTAATTTCAGATGTAGATTTTATTATTACTTGTAAGGCTATAATCTTTTACATTTTTTCCAAAAAAAACCAAAAAAAACCTAGGTCAGGGAATTGTAAAAATAAACAAGAGTGATTCTAAGGTGTATTGACTCCTTTGTCCTAATGGTCGTAACTACCTGGTTACCAGAAAATCCTAAATCTTGTCTTCAAGGTGATTAAAAAGTGAATATGCAAGTGTTTGGGCAGAGGCTTTTAAAATTCAGACGTGTGGTAGGGATAAAAAGGAAACTGATCTGAGCAGAGGCTTCTTTTGTTAAAGCAACTCATACCCATTTTAAAGGGCGTATCAAGCGGGGCACACGTCACAGCTATATTAATTTCTGTTGATTATTTTTCTCTTGAGTCAGCTCAGGAATTATCTGACTGTGTCCTGTCTGTTCTGTTCATAAAAAGCTTAACAATGCTTTGCATAACGTGTTTATTGGAACGCTCAGTGGCAGTGGATTATGGTCAAAATATATAGCTTTCTGCCAAACATTGCGTATTTTCAACAGATATCTGAACTGCTTGTATAATCGTGTTCAAAACTGCAGATTTGTACACCTGCATGCTTAACAGCCAAACGTCAGTTAATATTTTTGTGGTATTGGGGCATAGCCTTCTGCATAAGAATTTAATTTGGAAAGGAGTGCATACCACTGAGCGTTGTCCTGGAGAACGTGGAGGAAGTTGAATGTTGAGTTTAATCATGGTGAGCGTCACTCCTATTTAAAAGGAAAAGTCAATAGTGCAGAATTTCATAATGCAAAGCTTTGTGTGTATTCTTATGTGGCCTGATTGTATTTCATGAAATGAAAGAGCTTGGCTTCTCAAAGCCATGCAGTATCTTTTATAAGACATTTGATGTTAGGTTGAAAACTGATGATTATATGATGAATTCAGTTTAAAGTAAACATGATGGTGTGGTTGAATACCCCATATTTTTTTATTATTGCAGTAACTAGTAAGTAAAACACATTTATATGTCTAATGTCCTAGTGGGTTTTTGAAATGATAATGATAGCTGGATTTTAGCTTTAATCTGTTCTGCAGATAAACAGCACTGGTGCCAAAAAGTTGCTCTTGAAATGATAATTGGTCTCTCTGTGAATGACAGCCAACCTGCTCACTTGAAACGTAGGGAAA